GCAACGGGTCGGTCGGCGGTCATCGCGAGCGCGCGTCCTACACCCACCGACGGCCATTGAAATTTTCCGAAACTGTGCCGCAAACAGCGGTGTTGCCTACGAGCGAAAACTCGAAAGTTCGATCGGTTCATCGAGCGGAATCTTCTTCCCGCTTGCGTCCAGTATCCACCGTCCGCCGACCGCGTGTTTTCGCGTTTCGCCGACGCCGATTTCTCGAACGGCAAATCGACAGAGTCGCGTTGAACGTTATCTCTTCGACGACTTTGTAGACTTTGCTCCATTTCGTTCTGTTTGTTTCGAAGTCCAAGGAGATGGAACGATGGGATTATGAACGTCGAAAGGTGGTTCACGGTTGTTTCTAAGACACTTTCGGCGGGCGTAGTTATTGACCGATATTGAAATTCCTGGCTTTCTTTGATGGAATATTCGAGAACATTCCACGCACCCCTTAAAATTCATTTCTTGAATGACGCACCTCTTGGTGCGAAATAGCTTCGTGCATTATGATCTCGTTCGATTTGCGGCTGGCCTTTCATCCGGGGAACTTGATTCGAAGGCGACCTAGATATCTTTTTTCAAATTACGATCGATCTTGTGGCTCTGGATTTTCTTGCTTATTTTTCGATGAAAATTCACAAAGTTTGTGTTTACCCAATAGCGTGACAAAACACGATGATGGACGTCGATATATTAGTACTAAAATTAGTACAATTTTCAATTTTCTTTTTGAAACAATAGCTCAAACATGATAGTTAAAAAAGATGTAAAAGTTTATCTTATATACTTATGTATTTATTTATAGATTTATGTATTTACATTCTATAGTATTATATATAAGCTATCGTTCAAAAGTATCTAGATACCTACTTTTGATACATTTAAACTTCTAACTACGGATCCTCGAATGTTATGCAAGTTGATTAAACAATTATTGATTGAATTAAACTGCAATGATTTTGTTTTTTATAGTCATCTATGTTATACAATAGAATATTATGACGCCAAAATGAAATTGATATACCGTCGATAAATATATTTTATTACTGGATAAACTCTTTATCTTTAAATTCTTTAATTCACAAGTAATACTATGAAGATTTCTTTAAATTAACAGTCAAAATTTTTGGTGGTAATAATACTATTAAAATATGTATATTGGAATATATAGCAAATAGTAAAATATATTATTGAAATTAATGCATTGTTACTATTATTATTTGCCGATTTATACATCTATGCGAAATTCAAAGTTGCAAAAATGTATATATTGCACATAATGTACAAAATTATATAAAATATCCAAAGTAGAATAGTATTTGTTATAATAAAACAAATTTCTTTTTATTTCGCGTTTATAAAAATTTAAAGAGACATAAAAGTCCGCTCATTTGAGCATCAATTGATCATAACTTATAATCTTCCAATCTCATAAAAAAAAAAAACGTCATTTATAGATGCTATTGTAATTTCATCGTTAATTTGTACACTTAAATCTAAATATTATTACTATTAATCGATTAAACTATCCGTACATTTGTAAACGGCAGCGTATCGTTTCGGCAGGATGAATATGCTGATTTATACCGGAAGAAAGCGGTCGATGAAATTTGGTTTGAATTCGAATATCGATTTAAAATTAGGAAGCGGCAAAGGCGTTTTTTCCATTCAGCCACATTCGATAAAAATTCGCATTTTTATCGGTCAGAAAAAGAAGAAGGAGAGGTTCGATCGGCGGAATCGCACGCGTTCCTCCGCTATCGATTATTCGGCCGCGCGCGGAGATTTTAATTTCGCGCGGGCAAAAAGACCGCCGCGAAACGGACGGAGAATTTTTATGAATTAACGAGATTTTGTTGCGCGTCCATCCGGCCTCCCCCCCGTCCTCCTCCCCGTAACGTCGAATGGAATGTAATTAGGTTGAAACAGGAAGCCCTCGGGCCTTCTTCGATGCATCCACCCGTTTCCGGCCATTTTTTTATCCGTTCTACCTATTCTCTCTGAACAGAGTCGCCATCTACGAGCCTACGATCGTTTCTACCCAAGAAACCGTCGAATGTTCGACTTCAAATCCCTCAAAAATACGCATATATATAGTAATTACTCATGTTTGAGACGAAGCTTGTTTATTTTATTATTATTCGTTTGATCGCTTGTTTATTTTAATTTTGTTTCTTTCTCATTTTTTTTGCGAGAGAGAATACCTTCAATCTTTTTAAGATTAATAAAATTTTAACATAGAATTCCGGTGTCTGTGCGAGATTGGTTTCAACACTTTATCGTATAAGTTGGATTAACAATTTTGTCTGTAACTTGAATTTGTATAATAGGAGGAAATTTTATACGAGAATTTTTTTGAGTGCTATAAGGAGAGACGTAATGTGATGCAAATATTTTTTTGTATAGATGAAGAGATCTTGTACAAATTGTTGAGGAGATTTCATTCGAAACCATACGAAACACTCGTTCTAAATTAAAATATAGGGAAAAAATTACAGCTACAAATATTATTTCTTAATTAAATTAACTTGAAATTCGAGGTTATTTACTAATTCTCAATAATAAATAGATTTCGTGGAAAATAAGTTTACTATATCTGGGACAAAAAGGGGCTTCAATCAACCGTAGTTGAAGAATTCAATCAAATGTATTTAAAGATATTCAAAAATATTAAAATCCTCCGTGTACACGAATTAAATAGAAATCGCCAATTTTATTTCCCCATACCTACATTTACAAACAAATACAACGAACAAGTACTGCATTACATGTGTTTGGCGTTCGCTGCCAGGAATTAGTTTTAGAAGAATACGAATTACGAAGAGGAATACACTTTATGAACAGAGATTCGAAGAATATTGAAGATGAAAAGGGATTTATTATCAAGTGTACGCTGACACCTCTTTCCAGCAACATCAATCACGCTTTTCAACGCATACTAAAGAAAACAGGAAGTATCCAATAGATTTCTAGTCGATATGAACTGCGATAAAGCAAAGATTAAATCGTACTTTTCAATAAACGTTCGGACAAATTGTTTCAATACCAAAAAGTATCGACCTGGCACGTCACAAATTAAATTAAAGCACATCCACACAAAAGCAATACCATTCGAAACGCGACGAAAAACAGTTTTAAATATAAACAGCTGTAAGTCGCATCTCTTTCTTTCTCAAACTTTCTACGGTCGATCAATATCTATAAGTGTTTCGTCACTAGCCACGTGCACGTATTATAACAGTTATACCATTTATTTCTCTCTCTTCTCTATCTTCCATAAAACGAGAGAAGCTCGTGTCAATATTGATCAACCCCGACTGATTACAATAAATAAATCTTATTAGAACGAATGAACAAATAAATGAATAATCTCTAAAGAATATATGAATAAATGAATATAATAATCTCCAAAAATAGAATAAATAAATAATGAAGATTATCAAATAAATGAATAATCTGTAAAGTATAAAAATGTCCAAAAATAGAATGAACAAATAACGAGTGAAATATAATGAACGATTTCTAAAAGTGGTAACTAAATTTATTATCAGACGACCGGTAACGTGGCATTGAACGTCAGCCTTCGACCAATTACCCCGATAATAGGCTGGTCCTCGGCTCCAGACAGACACCTAATGTCTCTGCACGGCGTGCCGCGCCGGTCGACGAGCTCGTGAATTGTGGAGGACGATGAAAAGGAAACGCGGCACGGGCCCCTCATGCAGATGTCTCGCCAAGTCGCACCTGGCGGCAGGTGGTGGTTACCGCGGGGGTTCTCTACAACTCCCCTCGCGTCTCTTCTCCCGCCCCCCTCCCCCTCCAGACTCGATAGATCCACGCGTGTGCTCGCGATCATATGTTACCTGGCGCGTGTTCAGTCACCCTCCTCGAGGAAACCGATCAACTGCTCACCATGAACCGTGGAATCCGGGTCGGGCATCCTGGCCTGGTCTGTTCGCGTCTTCCTGCTCGTTCGTCATCGTGGATTTAAAATTGGGAGTAAGCGATAGTAAGGCGAGGACTAAATTCGGAAATTCTTCAGATTTGTGATATATTAGGCAATTAGGCTTGGAAGCTCTTAGAAATTTGCAACGTCACAGGAGTTTGAAAATCTTCGAAAATTTACAGGGCCAAATTTTTGAAAGTCCTTGGAGTTCGCGGACGAAGGTTAAATCTGGAAGAGTTTCGAAAGTTTTCATAATCGCTCGGTTCACGTGGATAAAATAGAGATTATTGGAAAAGTCGATTAAATTATTAAACACTAAGAAATTATTAGAAATTACTAGAAAATTATATGCAAGTTCACTTTGATTGAAGAAGTAATCCGAGATGATTAAAATAACAATATAAATGAATATTGAATAAATATATCAAATATTTGTTCGAGAATGAATATATTCTTGCTTCTTTATATGTTTTCCATTCATTGAAATTTCTTTTCATTACTAGATCTACCATCAATCTTGAAGATTAAAGTCTTCGCTTTATATCGAGTCCGTAAAACTTGTTCGACTTTTTTTCATCATCGAATCTTGAACATCAGAGTTAAACGATAAAAATTCAAGGAATCCTAACGTTTTGCCAATTGAACTTTAACGTTCAAGGTTCGATAAAGTGGCGAGAAAAAAATCATACAGCAGGCTTTAAGAGATCGTTGTAAAGAGAAGATGGTGAATCTAATCAAAAATGAAAAAAATTGTCACCGTTCTTGGTAGACGTTTGAAATTTTTACAATTTTCGAGTTTTCACGAAATTGTAAAAGCTTAAAGTGTAGACAATTCTGCATCGAACGTGCGAACATTTTCTGTAGAAATGATCAGAATGGAACAGCTGTTCGTACACTTCGATCTAATCAAAGTTTCCGTCACTGATTATTCGCAGGTGCAGGAACTCGTGGAGATCAAGACAAAATAACTTTATTAATCTTCGTGACACGTAACATCGTTAAAATTCAACGATTAGAACGCCTTTGAAACACTCCTTCCTTTTCGTCTTTTTTTCTTTCTCTCTTTCTCTCTCTCCCTCTCTAGTCGTATTCTGCTCCGATCGTGATGCTCATCTCCTCAGAGACGATTGTCGTTTGGTGGTACCAGCGATTGGTATCCAAGACAACTGCACGACAAATCAATTGATTAGGAAATTCCACGGTCGAGAGATTGGATCGAGACTTTCTTACTTATCTCGCCGGGATGTACCACAACTTCCAATGCGTTGCAAGTGTAATGGCACTCTCTGGGTGGCTCCAGGGTCCACAGTTTCTCACCTTTGATCTGAGCCTGCCACGATGCGTGTTCCACGTCGTCCACCTAAAAACATTTATTCGAAAGTTGAAATTGTTTCGCCGATAAACGCGCGAGGAGAAGTTGAAGTGTACCCACGTGCATAGGGGCACCATATCCGTGACTACCCATAAAAATCCAATCGGTCTTCTCGGACTCTGCGGTGACAGGCAGAAAGTACGGCCTTTGATAGTGTTTTCTGAGCACGCTGCCGATTTCCTCGTCGCAATTACTCCTTTCATTAAAACCGTGATCTTATTAACATGCATTGAATGCTATTTTTATTTTTTTTTATTGTGTGTTTTGTTGACTGAAATTTGTATATTTCATCTGTGGACGAAATGTTTGATTTTATATATAGGGCAAGATGTCATTGTACCTAAATTGTATCTAACTTTGATTCTATGTATAACTTTTTAATTAATTGATATTTAAAAAGAAAAATGTAGAAATAGATTACTAGAATCGGATAAATTATGAATATAATTTTTATCGTATATTTGTAAATAAATATCGTCATTAATATTATTTCATTTATTATAAATAGATATAATGAAATACATGAATATGTATCGATATTATATGAAAAAGAAGTCTTATGTAAAAGGTTATTATAAAAATTATTACGTTACTATATTATATTATATTATAAAATTATTGTACTACGTGGTCGACTAATGGCCCAAAAATGAGTGCTTAACTCATCTTCTCCTTTGTGTACATGACAAATGAAATGAAATGAAAGAAATTAGAGGAAAAAATGCACTTACCAGCCGACGTACCACGGTTTCGTCCCTTTCTCCAACAACGATCGACTGTCACTCATATCGAACACGTCCTGGAGGCGTTTGAACTCCGTTTTGTAGGGGAAAAACTGGCAATTCGCATCCTCTCCGTCGTACAACAATTTGAAGAAGGAGAACGAGAATATTTCCGTCGCTGTCCAGTTGGACATCGCATCGGTGATCACCACTGGTCTTCCAGAGTACGCGTATCTGTTCCTCGAAACGGGATAAAGAGAAATACGAGCGTGAAAAATATATAAAAAAATTGAACTTTACAAACAATTCCATGTATTAACGAAATGAATCGAATAGAATAGAAGA